ACCAGTAAGTTTTCAGCCTCCTACAACTGCATTTACTGCTGACAACATCTCATTGAGGCAAAAATTGCAGCATAAACAGAGTTGTAAGTGCTGTTGTGGTGCGAGTGAAAATGAACTTAGAGCTCACTGAAGGGAGCACATACCTGGGATACTGCTTGGCGAAGGTCTCCCAGCGTTTTCCTTCTATCAATAGTCAGATCCACAACACTCTCTTTCCATGTAAGGGAAGGGTGCAAAGCCCCATTGTGGAATCGATAGCAGGAGCTCAAATGGAGGTGCAAGTCAATGCCATTGTTTGCTGAGTCACACTCGGCTCTTTGAGAGAATAGCACAACAAACTGCTGAACTGAACACACACAAACTGTGCAGCTCTCCTGGAACTGATCCCCCCCATGGCTCAATTTCCTGGCACACTTGCTCCTCCATCAAGTGGTGTGCAAAAAGGTGTCCAAAGATGTCAAGTGACTCAAAGGTCATACAATGCAGAGGTGGCACAGAGACCTCCACACCAGCACTCCAGCAGCAAGTTCTGGGTTTCCACACCCTGCTGTCAGCTTTCTAACAGAATGATTAACTTCATCTTGCCCAGAGATGTTGTGGACTCCCATCCCTGAAGTGATCCAGACCAGGTTGGATGGGGCTTGGATCAACCTGAGCTAGAGGAAGGTGTCCCTGTCCATGCCAGGAAGGTGGAATGAGATGGCCTTTGAGGTCCCTTCCAACTCAGATTGCTCTGGGGCTGTGTGATTTTTAAGCCTCTAGAGACTTTTAGGTTTCTTCAGGCTGTGTCATCCATGCTCTGCTGGAATGCAAAGCTAGGGCAGACACAGCTGTGCCGCCCACCTCCTTTGCACCTGTATCCAGCTCTATCAGCCCAATGTAGCAGCAAACACTCCATTTATTTAAAAAAAAAAAAAAAGTGAATTCACATGAGAGATGGAATCATGGAATCACAGAGTGGCTTGGGATGGAAGGAACCAGAAAGATATTGTTCCACCCCCTACTGTGGGCAGGGACAACTTCCACTAGCCCAGGTTGCTCCAAGCTCCATCCAACCTGGCCTAGAACACTTTCAGGGATGGAGCAGCCACAGCCTTGTGTGAAGTATCCCGTAAGACCTGTCTGCCTCGTCTCTGTATTTTGATACCTTCACTGTGATTCAAGTGTAGCATCACTTTTGTGTCCCTCAACAGAAGGAAAAGTTTCAACTACCCTGAATACCACTAACTCTTTCCTCCACGTTTCAGGCAAAGAACACAATTTCTCTGATATTTCACAGTCACTCCCCTTTCTCCCAATAGAGAATTCCCTTTATAAACAAAATTAAGATCATGTATTCCACTCTCTTTCCAGAGTCACATCAATTTTCCCCCAAAACAATACAATTTTAAACTGTATGTATGTTTCCCTTGAAATTCTGCAGGTTCTGCCCCTAATAGGGAGGCAGAAGGCACAACCTGGATACATGGATTGCATTCCTCAAGCTCTGTAACATGAAATCACTAGAGTCTCTGGCTCTACTCAAGGAGTTTCTTTCCTCCTAGATCACTTCAGAGACCTCAGGTAAGAAGGCTGTTACATCAATATACCTCTTCCTTTGCAGCTCAGTATTAGCAGCATTCATTTCATTCAGGAGGTGCTCAGGAATTTGATACCTTGGATTTCCTCGTGCTGTAACAAAAAATATAGGCTGGTTTGGCTTCAAATGTGGTTTGGCAAACAAGAAAAGAGATCAAGTTGAGACATTACAGACTCACAGCAATTATGCTCACAACAAAGAAAACTAAACTACAAGCTGAAATAAAGAACAAAGTCGGTTTACTTCTTGCAATCAACCTTTCTCTGAGGGAACTGAACACATAAAGGTCATTCTTTCTGCAAGTCCAACACACATTGGTAACTTTCTTCACAAGATTAGGCATGATTAACTGGGATTGCTCTCATTTGTAAACAGGGCTGGGACTGGAGCATCAGTTTGTGTGGATTTGAGTAGACATCATATAACAAAACCTAAACCTAATGCACCACCAAAAGACAAAGGTTTATTTTTAATAAGTAGAGCACAAAGAACCTACTGATTCCTTTAAAAATGTTACTTAATATACAATCCCATGTTCTAATGGGCTTCATTTCAGAACTGCAGTGATAGGACATGGGGAAATGGGTTCAAACTGAAGGAGAGAAAGTCTACGTCAGATGTGAGAGAAAAGCTTTTCACTGTGAGGGTGGCACAGGTTGCCCAGGGAAGTGGTGGCTGCCCTGACCCTGGCAGTGTTCAAGGCCAGGCTGGATGAGGCCTTGAGCAACCTGATCTAGTGAGGAGGTGTCCCTGCCCAGGGCAGGGGGGTGGGACTAGATGATCTGTAATGTGTATTCCAACCCTTAAATTCTGTTATTAGCAACAACTTGTATTTGTTTCAGCTGTTCTGCTATTACTTGCAAAGCACCCTAAAAAACACTAGTGTCAGATTAAATGGTCACCACCACTTCGTATCTTCATTCAATACCTTCTACACATGATCACTACAAGGAAAACTGTATCTTCAGTTCTTGGAAAGGCCAAAAAAACCCAACAGCCTTCACCCTCCAGAAAAGCTACCAAAGGAGGAAGCCCTAGAACATCAAGATGGGTTTTGCATACCTTCAGGAGGTCGTTTTAGTAGAGTTTTTCGGTAGAACAGCATGTAGGCACTCTCTTTACCCTGAAATTGCTTCTCAATGTCCTTCTCCTTGATGGGCTGAACTTTGGAGTCATTCAGGTCAAACCAATGGCAACCAGCAGAACTGGCCCTTGGCTTTGGAGAGGTTTTCTCTGAATTCCACTGGACATCGTTCTTCTGAGGAGGGCTCTGGAGATCTTGTCCTGTAGAATCCAGCTTCAACAGAAACTTGTGTGCTTCCTTCAGCCCAACCTTGTTTTCATCAGGACTCAACTGAAATACCTGAGGATGGTTCTGCAAATACTGGAACGAAAGCAAGGCAAGATGAAGACACCGAGTTTGACATGCAGCAGCATTAGCTCCTTCACCTGACTCATCCTCAAACTGATACACAAACCTCAGCGCTTCAAACCTGGCTTTTCTCATATATTTCCTCAGTTTGGACTGAAAAACATAATTTTCTTTCCACCTGACCTTTTATATGTTCTTGTTGCCTTTGTTTCTTATGCAACTTCAAACTATTATGTAAGAAACAGCAAAAAAAAATGTTTCTAAGCATAAATGTGTCACTAAGACTTAAATCAGACTAACTTCTGGATTTCAGTTTTCATCAGCATAATCAAAACCTCATTTTGTACTTCAATTCAAAGAGCTTAAAACAACCTGTTTCAATTCTCATCCTACTGACCATTCAATAGGAATAGAAACTGTTATAAAGTTATCTGAACAGCAAAAACCAAACTAACACGTGTGATTACCTTGCGTAATGCTCCGTATTGTTTTCGGTACTTCTTATTCCAGGACACTCCTTTTTTCTCCAATAACTTCTGCCCTAATTGATCCACGGGAATTTGTTTAGATTCTTCCTACAGAAAAATTAAAAAGCAGGATAACAAAGGCTACAAAAGTCATGGGATCAACACAAAGAAGCCAAGTCTGAAGTGCTTCAAGCATTCCTGGTTTTCAGTAAGACAATGTAGGGAGTGTGTCGGGGAGGGTCAGGTTGAGTATCAGGACATGATTCTTCCCC